TTTAATGAAATCTCTATTTTTTTCAATGTCTCTTCTTGAGGTAGTTGCATAGCACTGTTTCTGTCTTTCGCAACCAAAAAAAAAATCTGATTACCATCAGCTACTGAAGTCCTAGCAGCAACTGCAGTGAGTACCATTATACTCTCTTTTAGGACTAAAATTTAGAATCTGACAAACCACCATTAAATCTACGTTTTCCAAATTGACAGATCTTTTAGGGAAAGAATGAAAACCTAAATAATCACTGTTGAAAACTAAAATATACTTCCAAATATCCAGTTTGAAACCTCTTATCACTTCAAAAACCCCTATCACTAGAAAATGTGAGTCTGATCAGTAAAGCAACTACATGTCAAAACATGCCACCAAGATTAAGTCCAGGAACAAATGAAAAAATTCTGGTCTATTCTGAACAGCATTATCACAGGAGTATGGGTAGTAGATATGGCTACACCATTGCTTTAAGCATTTTCTTCACTCTTATCTCTAATTACCTTCCTTAAAACAGAAAGTAACGATCAATTTAGTTACTTATACAAATATAAATATTTGAGCTTTTCAGAAGAGATAGTAACACTTTTAATATGATAGACTATGATATAGTAGCAAGCATAAGTACAGATAATTAGTAGTAGCTCAGTAAACAAATGTGTATGTATTTATTTATATATCAGGATGCTTTCAAATCTTATGTTTAAAGTTTTCTCTCTTGGTGGAAGAGGGAATAAATGGTGATGGAAAAATAAAATTAAATAAAAAGTAAAGCTTTCTCTCAAGTATGTATAGATGTTTTTAGTGTAATAAATAAGATTTTTTTAATTTAATAAAATTATCATTTTATAATGAAATTTTTACTTTTTGAAAGGGGTTACATTTTTCATTTGGTCTAAATTTATGCCTCTAAAGAAAGGAGCAGTATCCAAATAGTGAATTATACTTTGACCGCATTTGTTGAATTTTGTTTTTTAAAATATAAGACTTTCTACAACTGTTGTTGTTTTTAAGTCAGAATTTCTGAGGATTTATGCAGAAATCACAAACAAACTTTTTGAGCATATTTTAAATTTCCTGGGCCCTAAGTGGTTATTTTGTCTTTCATTAAACATGATAACACTGCACAATTTTTTAAAAGGCAAGTTGGTAATACTATACCCAATATTTTATTATATTAATACACACCCTTTGAGGATCTATCACCAAAACATGGACAAAGTACATAGTTTTATGTATGAAAATACTGACACATGAATTATAACAGGAGTTCTCAGTAGAGCTCCAGTGATCCTCTGTATGGCACGATTCTTCTTTGTATAAAACTTTCTAATATGAATGACTGACACCCAATAAATGCCAGAAGGCCCTCCAATTATTGTTGACAATCAAAAGTACACATTTCACATGCTAGCTTCTCCCTAAAATCCAGACTTACACATACACACACCCAAAGCAAAACAGACAGCCAATACATCTCCAATTATATAATTTCAATGACACAAACACTAAGAATAGATTCGTCTGTAAAATATAAGTAAAGCACTGAAAAATGCTTATTTGCAAAATCCTTTGATCACACCATTTTAAAATAAACACACATAAAAAGGATTTGAAGAAAACACATGAAAATGGAGAGAGGTTTTGATAGGGTGGTATTTCTCTTTAATGTTCATAAAGTGATTATATTGGTTATATTTTTTTTTAACTAAATAAACTTAACTAGTTCACAGATTTTGCCTTATTAGTACTTTTGAAGACCAGAGAGAAGAAAACCAGCAAGCAAAAAATCAACAGTGTTGATGTTAGAAATGTATTAGAAATCAGGGACAGGATCACCCTTTGAAGGGAAGTACAATACTAGGGTGTAGACAATTCTGATCTGAGTGCTGGTTACACAGAAATGTTCACTTGGGATAGAGAAACTTATCCATGCACTCTTCTGTTGCACATTATACCTCAATAAAAAGCTTGCTGCAAAAATTTCATACTGTCATTAACACTCAAATGTATATCTTCCATACAACTACTACTATTGGATTTTTTTTTAAGTATATTTTATTGATTTTTTTACAGAGAGAAAGGGAGAGGGATAGTTAGAAACATCAATGAGAGATAAACATCAATGAGCTGCCTCCTACATACTCCCTACTGAGGATGTGCCTGCAACCAAGGTACATATGCCCTTGACTGGAACTGGACTTTTCAGTCCAAAGGCCAACGCTCTATCCACTTGAGCCAAACCGGTTTCGACACTACTATTGCATTTTTATCCATTTCAGCCCAAACCTGCAAACACATCTGTAATGTATTGACCATATTATAATGACTTCATTACAGAGCAGAACACATGCTGTTAGTAAAGTATGTCAATGTTTTTTAAAAATAGGAATAAGAGATTGCACTTATGAAAAACTGGTTAAGGATTTTGCCTGTCCCATATATGTGTTATATGTGTTAGTTTAATTAAATATATTACAGTTTGTGGACACATTTCATATTAATGTACCATATAGATATATATACACATAATATTAAAAGTGTCTCCTCAGGAGTTCAACCTACTGGGAGTTCCATCGCTTACTATGACGTGCCCTGACCACCAGTGGGCAGCATAGAATGAAGGCCCCTGCAGGTGGCTGGCAGCTGGGAAAGGAGGCCCCAGCTGGTGATCAGCAGCAGCTAGGGACCCTACCCATGAACAAATTTCGTGCACTGAGCCTCTAGTGTTTAAATAACGAGCTCTTTATTCTCTTTGACTTTTAAAGGGCAAGTAATTAACATCTGATTTCAAAAAACAGTTCATTACCAAGAATCAGATAATTACTGGCAGCATGTTGCCACCCAAGCCCACATTTCAACTATGTAAGTGGTACCATGTTGACAATGGAGACTATTCTGTGATGTAGTTCTACCTACTAGATACCTTATTATCACAACCTTACAAGCAAGGTTAGTTTACAAAGATTTATATACAAAATATCTTTACTGCATGTTTCCAATTCTTGCAGGATACAGCACTCCTCCAAGCACTTAATTATTAAGAAGTTTCCAGTGCTAAAATGGATAGCATTTTCGAAAGTTAAGATGTTCAAAGCTATATATGCCACAGCTAGTCAACCAAGATGTACATGTATGTACACTTATAAAGTATGCTTGGCAAAGTACTACCTGAATGTATTCATGTAGAAGCAATCTATGTAAACCCAGATTATGAGTCATTCTACAAAACAAACTACAAGACATAGTATCAATGTCATGACTTTAAAAAAGGTGACAGGGGGCTGTTCTAGATTAAAGGAGATAACCAAATGCAAAGGGTGGAGTCTGATTACAATCTAGATTTTTTGAAAAGAAGAAAAAAAGTTATTAGAATATTTGGGAGAATTTAACTATAAACATATTACTTATCAATGTTAAATTCCTTGGGCATGTAAATAGTGTGGTATTGAAGGAGACTGTGCTTTTCTTAAAGAGTTACATACTTAAATGTTGAGGGATGAATGGCTATGGTATCTACAACTAGTGTACATACTTCCAAAAGGATGGGAAGGTGGGAGAGGAGAGGGGAAGGTGAGAGAAGAGAGGTGGCGATGAGACGGGGGAGACAGAAATCAACTGCGGCAGGCGATGAACGCAGGTAAAGGAAACCTGGGTGTTCTTTCAACTTTCCTGTATGCATAAATTACTTCAAAACAAAAAGTGGAGGGCTTTTTGGGCCAACTTTCATCAGTATCTAGGAAGTAGCAACGCGATATACAGACAGACAGAAAACCTAAAGTAAGATTTAAATGCCTCACTGAAATAAAGCAAAAAGTCAAATAGAGCCAAAACCGCTTTGGCTCAATGAAGAACGTCGGCCTGCGGACTGAAAGATCCCAGGTTCGAAAGGTCCCAGGTTCGATTGCGGTTAAGGGCATGTACCTTGGTTGTGGGCACATCCCCAGTGGGGGGTGTGCAGGAGGCAGCTAATCGATGATTCTCTCTCATCGATGTTTCTCTCTATCCCTCTCTCTTCCTTTCTGTAAAAAAATCAATAAAATATATATAATTTTTTAAAAAAATAAAAATACTGGGCAACTCCTTTCCCTTCTTTCACAGGATTTCGACAAAATAAACAAAATATTGAAGACTTCAAGAATCTAAGCTGTATCATTAAAAAAAAACAACAACAACAACAACACTTTATGCGTGTGAGAATTAGAACCACCCCTTACACATAAACCCCTTACACATTCTGAGTAGAAAGTATTGTAAAAGGGAAATCTTGCTTCAAAACACACTACTTGGGAAGTGTCCGCGGCCTGGCATATGGACTTTTTTAAAGAATATGCAGCAGAGATAATCCTGCACCAACTAACACGTTTTCTGGAAGGGTTAGGACAGGGTGACCTTCCCGGAGGGAAAATGAATCTGCTGCCAAAAGGCTGGCCGGACCTGATGTCTAGCCGCGCGGATGGGCTCGGCTAGGCTGGCCGAGAAGATGCTAACTATGTGAACGCCGCCCCGAGGGCAAGCGCAGCCCAATCCCAGGCCATTCCGGCCTCCCCGGCGGCGGCGGCGGCGGCGGCCTGGCCCGGGGCCCGAAGAACGGACCGTCCCAGCGCAGGCCCCGCGGTTTTCGCATCGCGCCCCAGGCGTCCGCCCGGAGCGCAGTCCGGGGCCCACCTGCGGCCATCTTAAGTTCTGGAAAAAAGGGGAGGGGGAGACCCCGAATGGCAGGATTCGGCGGCGAGCACTAGTCCTGGAGGCACGAAGAAAAAAAAAAAAAAAAAGGCAGCCTTTGAAAGAGTTCGGTGCAGAGATTAAGCCCCCAAAGCCGGGCTAAAAAAAAAAAAAAAAAAAAAAAAAAAATAGGTGGGGCCCCGGGCCCTCGCCGCCCTCATCAAACGTGGGCACCCAGGTAAGGCCCGGCGGTCACGTGACGGGCGCCGCGCGCCCCCGTCCGCGCCGGCCCCCGGGTCCCCATGGCGCCCGCGCCCCTCCCCCCGCCGCGCTCGAGCACTCACTCCGGGGGGTAGAGCCGCAGCTCCTCGATTTCTCCTAGGAAGGAAAAGAGCGTCCGCATCTGCTCGCTGGTCACCGCCGACGACAGGTTCGTCACCTGAATCACCGTCGTCGGGGTGAGGCCGAAGCCCAAGCCCAAACCGAAGCCGCCGCCGCTGTTCATCCCGCTCCCACGGCTGCTCCCTTCGGTTCCCCCAACGTCTGCGACGCGTCAGCGACGGAGCCGGGAAAGAAGCGGAGCACGCGCGGCCGCGAGCGCGCTCCCGCTGGCGAGTTCCCGGCGGCGGCGGGCGGGTCTAGCCGCCCACTTCCCAACTCGCCTGCTCCCGGGGCTGCGCGCGCCGCCGGAAGCGTCGCTCTGGCAACGCGGCAGATCTCGCGAGGCTAGGGCCTGGGGCTTACGGTCGGCGAGGCAGGGGTTCTTGCTCCTCTTCTCTCCTAAGGAGTGTATGGCCTTTTTTTACCCGGATGTAACGGGGCCACATTTTTGTGCTCCTATAAACGTAGGAAACTCGGCTCTTTCAGGACTAGGGAACGGAAAGCCTGGCCTGCTGTTGCAGGAGAGAAATGATTCTGAAATCAAATACTTGGCCAAACTATAAACGCGTCATTTTAATATACAGGCAGCTCCCTCACGCCAGCTATTTAATTAAAGAATTGGCCGGCCTCATAATTGTGAGAAAGAAAAAAGAAAACTTGGAAAGTTTTACAAAACGTGTGAATTAAGGACAGAGGTAGTAAGATCAAGACTGTGTGGTCATTGTTTATAATGTCATTTATGCACTCATTCCGCAGGTATTAATAGTTACTGTTTTATACACCAGACACTGAGGGGCACACAGAAAAGTTACAAGGCCCGTAGAAAACGGGCAACCTGATGACAGGAAGTGACGGCAGTATGTGCAACAGAAGCACGTGAAAATGCCACCCCAGAACTAACTCTGAGGGACCTAGGGGCAACTTTCAGTGGGTCCACAAGGTCAAACCATTTTATAATAAGATTAAGACTTTGTTTACCTTTTCCACTTCGTTTACATTTGAACTAACGGCGTAAAAGCAATAGATGAAACTGCTGGCACTCCCGCTGGAATAAAGGCAGTGGCACCAAACTGTACTAACATCAGAATTTTGTATTCTTCATACTTTAGTATGCTCTCATAGCATACTAAATGTACGATTTTTTTAAATAAGCTAACGCCCTAGCATGTTTGGCTCAGTGGATAGAGTGATGGCCCTCGGGCAGAAGGGTCCAAGATTCCAACCCGGTCCAGGGCACATGCCTGGGTTGCAGGTTCTGTCCAAGTGCAGGAGGCAGCCAGTCAATGATTCCCTCATCATTGATGTTTCTATCTCTCTCTTCCTCTCCCTTCTTCTCTGAAATCATTAGAAATGTATTTTTAAAAAATAATAAACTAACTAACTTAAGAATGACAATGAATTACAAATAAGTAAAAATTACTAATTTTATTAAGTCTTCACCCTACCAAACATGTCATTTTAATATGTGTAAAGAAATGGTAAGTACTTCTGCTACATGCCCAAGGAAAACGGTTGTCTCCAGAATAAGCATTTGTAAGTTTGTGTTTTCACGCAAAAATCCAAATTTTGTTAAACTTACATCCACTATCTTGAGTTTGAGAGTTTTCCAGTAATTAAAGACTTTTCTGCTGTAAATACCACTAATGTTAATAAGCATACTTTTGACATTATATGGAAGCTAGAGGCCCGAAGCACGAAATTTGTGCATAGGATGGGGCATCTCTCAGCCCAGTCTGCATCCTCTGACAATCTGAGACCATTTGTTTGCCTGCCTCTGCCTCACAGCTTCGTTTGGGATGACATCTGGAAGGTCGTTGGGCTGTCTGGTCTAATTAGCATATTATGCTTTTATTGTTATAGATATGTGAACATTGGGAAGATCTCTGCAACCCATAAATCTCTTAGGGTCTTCAATACTTTCCAAGAGTATAAAGATGTTTGAGAACTACTACCAAAGAGATAAGCACAGGTCATGGGAGTACCTAAGTGGGCCACTTAAACTTAGTCTGAATGGAAAACTTCCCAGGAGAGTTGTTGCACTGAATCTTGAATAAGTAAGAATTAGCCAGGCAAGGAGGAGGGAAGTAGTAGTGAGGGGCCTTCTAGAATACACATGCAGAATATACAAAGGCAGAGGTCTGAAAACCTAAATGAGTTCCAGAATATTCAGATTTACTATTGCTAGACCAAAGGCTGAGACTGATTAGAAAAACATACAGAATAATAAGCCTTAATAAAAGGTGAGGTATGTCATATCTATAGATCACTTAATCATAAGCTGTTGGGAGAAAACTGTAGTTCACGCTGTAGTTCCTTTTGGGTGGCCTCAGACAGTAGCTGATCTGCATCCCATTGGAGAGCCAGAAGCTAGTGTATCTAGTGGTCAGCGTGAGATGACACCAGATTTCAACTACTCACATCCATAAATGACACATTCAAGAGGCAGACTCAGTGAGCACCAAAGCCTCACTGAAGCAAGTACTGCCCCATAAGCGTGTCTCCAGTGCAGCAGAGACACTTCCATTATAGACACAGCGGGTCCTCACAGCCAGTTCCTCCCAGCAACAACAATCAAGACTTTAACTACAACAAGGCAGAGCACACTGTCCACAAAGGGGTGCACCAAGAGGTTCCACCTCAAGTAACAGGGAGGCTGACCCACTGAACCATATAGGACACCTTAACACACAAAGCCACCCTACCAACTCAGGGAAGCAGGGAAAATGCTTTTGGGGGGGGAGGGAGAAGGAGAAACAATTGTAATAATCTGAACAATAAATATTTATTAAATTTAAAAAAAGGGTGTTCAAACTTTCAGTGCCACTCCCTGGCAGATAGCACCCCACTGCTTTTCACAGCTAGATGTTATGTGGGTACCCTCCTCAGCTTGGTGTTCTCTGCTGGGTAGCCCAACTTTGGGATTAGATCCCAGAGTTCTCAGTGGCCCCCTTCACACACACACACACACACACACACACACACACACACACACACAGCTGAGATATCTCTCTGGAACTTCAGTTATTGTCTGTGGGATTCCAGTCAGCTCTTTTTGTGCTTCTATCCCTCTTACCAGTCTGTATGCAGTCTCCACTTTTGGTCCTTGGGTATCAGGGTTCTCTCCTGTGAGTTTTCTGTTCATTATTCTGGGAGGAAAAGTTTTTTAAAAAAAATATATTTTAATTGATTTTTTTTAATATATTTTATTGATTTTATATAGAGAGGAAGGGAGAGAGATAGAGAGTCAGAAACATCGATGAGAGAGAGTCATCGATCAGCTGCCTCTTGCACACCCCCTACTGGGGATATGCCCGCAACCAGGGTACATGCCCTTGACTGGAATCGAACCCGGGACTTTTCAGTCCCCAAGCCGACGCTCTATCCATTGAGCCAAACCGGTCCCGGCTATTTTAATTGATTTTTTACAGAGAGGAAAGAAAAGGGATAGAGAGTTAGAAACACTGATGAGAGAGAAATATCAATCAGCTGCCTCTTGCACACCTCCTACTGGGGATGTGCCCACAACCCAGGTACATGCCCTTGACCAGAATCAAACCCCAGACCTTTCAGTCCACAGACCAACACTCTATCCACTGAGCCAAACCGGTTTCGGCTCTGGGAGGAAAAGTTTTAAGGAAGAAGAGTGGTCAGAAGAGAATGATGAGAAGTGTCAAATTCTGCAAAGATGATAAAATCAGGGATAATATGTGTCAAGTGATAGATATAATGTGACTATTTAGGCGGGGGGGGGGGGGGGGGGGAGCTACATGAACCAGTTTAGAGAAGCAAAGGTCATAGTGTTGCATCCGTTATGAATCTCCCAGCAGAATTTCCCAAGCCTGGGCCTGCCCTAGTCCTGGCACTCTGGAAAATGTCAGACTGCTCCTCCCTGGACCTCTGAGATAATTTAATTTGTTTCCTTGGGGGAGAGGGAAAGAAACAACACCTATTTAATCTTGACCTAGATTCCCCATTGTCATAGTTTTATTACATATGCTTTATCTTCAGACTTCTTTTTTTACTGAATCATTTGATACTCTGACACTTCATCCTTGATATTTCGGCCTTCCTCTCCAAATAGAAAAGTGTAGAGGGCCACCTGGGAAGACACCTGGACATTCTTTAGATTGTTGTTGACTGGGCCCAGGATATTGGCAGAGTCATGTCAGTTGCATTCCTGCCCCGGGAAGGCCGAGATATTCTTAGTTCCTGGCTTGTGTTCCTCCGGGAGGAAGGAGTGGGTGGAACCTGGGCCCTCCAGGCTCCTTGTTTTCCTGTGAAACCCCCTTGTTGGATTGGAGTATAAATAGATGTGCTGCGTGGCTCAGGAGATTGTCGTCTGCCTCTCCAGCAGATGAGGTCGGAGGCCCTCCCAGCTCCCAGTTTAAAATCTATCTCTGTGTCTTTCTTTCTTTCTAATATTTCTCAATCCCTGGCCACCTCCACTTAGAACCGGTTCGTTCATCTGGAGATCCCCGCCACATCAGGCCCCCCGCAGAAAAGCACAATGATATTATTTTACCCAAGAATATTAAAAAAAATACTATCATGTCCAAACCGGTTTTGACTCAGTGGACAGAGCGTCAGCCCGCGGACTGAAGGGTCCTGGGTTCGATTCCGATCAAGGGCATGTTCCTTTGTTGCGGGCACATCCCCAGTAGGGGGTGTGCAGGAGGCAGCTGATCGATGTTTCTCATTGATGTTTCTAGCTCTCTATCCCTCTCTCGTCCTCTCTGTAAAAAATCAATAAAATATATATATTTTTTAAAATACTGTCATAATCCATTTTCAAATTTTCCCAATTAACACAAAACTGGCTTTCATAACTCTTATTTTGGTCCAGAAAGCAAACAATAAACAAGCATTTGGTTGTTAGCAAAATTATATCTCCAGTCCCATTTGATTTCCAAAAGATAGAGCCTCTTGATATCATTTTCTCCACATGAACTCATGGAAGGATGAATACTTCATGAATTCTTAAATTAACCATTTTGGGTAGGACACAAATTCTCATAATTGAATGCTTTTTTGATAGGCTTCCAGGCTCGACATGGCTTCTTCTGTATATCCTTAGTTATAGGACTTCTGTTCAGCTAGACCTCAGGCAATTCTGAATGATGGTTG